GCCATCGACAAAGCGCTTAGATAATAAAGATGACAAATTGGAAGCTGTGGTCGGTAGCTCGTCGTTTTCAATGTGTTCAGAACTTTAGTTGTGATCTAAATATGACTATGAAATGTGCCAATACCTGTAATTCATTATACCATGATTCAAGTCCATCTGATAAGTGAAGTCGATTCCAAAAGACAAGTTTTTCATCGAAAAGTCGAGTTTTGACTACAGTGATAGTCGACTTTTCAAATCCTACACTGCAATAGAAAGAATTAAAAAAAAGAAGACAACAGATGGGGAAATAAAGCTATTTTTAACAGCTGTTGTTATTTGAAGTTGAAAATTCTTGCGTTCTTTTTGTAATTGTTTTAAAAATACGTGTCTAGTTGGGTTTAATCGAATTTAATATTGTGACGCTAAAATAAATTTGCAATTTACTGTGCTAGTGCGCAGGTGAATATTTTTGTTATACACAATTATCTGTCCGTAGAAAATGGATGGGGAAACAGGAATGGATGACTTTGGTAAATAAAACAAGTATAAAGATGAGTTTTGTTCCACCATGAGTTTTGTTGATAACACTACGCAATCATTTACAGATCCAGAGGAAAATCTGAACTTCAATATAGACGCGTTCATGCAGAAGCCTTTAGTCGCCCACCAGGTACAATGCAATAATGCGTGTGTTTCCACTGCTAATCTGAAGTCTTTACAGATGTTTGTAATTGAGATTCCAAGCTTAATTGCTGTAGACACAAGATTCATAACACCACAGATGGCAATGCAAAAGGAAATTTTAATGTCAAACTCTCTAATTCTTTCTCCGGGAATCTTAGACTCTGAAGTCGACACGCAAATGAGCCCAGAGAAAGGCTTACGTGAAACGAGGTGCGTAGGCATAATGGTAGAACCGGCCACGGATCACGTTTCCGCTCAAACTGATACTCCCAACCCACTGCGCGATCGTGGTCAACAGACAGCAACGATGCTTAATCAAATTGACGTAGGCATCCAATGTAGTTCAGAAAATGATGGAAATATTGATGCCGTGCAATCAGATATTATTCCATTGGAAGAATGCAATGAAAACGAGTATCATGTATTTTTAGAGTTTGTGCAAAAAAATACCAATTCATACAGTAATAGCAAAAAAGAATGTCTGGTATGCGGTGAAATTTTGACCAATTCAAAGCAAATACTCTCGCATATGGTGATACATTGGGGTCCACCAGCGCTCTGTGAAATATGTGGTAAACAATTGGAGCATACGAGCCTATTATTACTGCATAAATGCAAAATTAAGTCAAAACAAAAATTTAACAAACGAATTGTACATCAGCAATGTCCAATATATTCATGTGGATTAATGACAGCGTCCAAACGGCAGTTAAACGACCATATAAGTGATCATGTCGACTTAACTTCAAACCGCGGTTTGCCCTGCAAACGAAGTTTTCATAGGAGATATGAGATGCGAAGGCATTTCTCAGAACAAAAAGAATGCTCACTTAAAACAAGACATTTTGAAAAATGCGGAAAAAAGCATGTGCTAGTAAGCCAAAATGTAGCAGCAGGTCAAAGACGCTTGCGTTGGTATTTCAGAGATTTGCTACGTTGTCAAATTTGTTTGACAAAGTGTTTAAGTCCATCTTTATTTGCTGAACATAGAAAAAAATGCGTAAAATGTTTCAGGAGCAGACTGAAAAATATAAGATCTAAAGATCCATTGGCCACCAATGGCTTTAAGGGAACTTAATACAAAAAGAGATTTTAGTATGCAAAATAATAAAACGACCCAAAGGATAATTTTAAAACTCATATTAAATCTATTTAGCTAGATTTTATAAACATTACTTATTTAATAAACATTTTCTTTATTTAAGACCTTTACGATACGCCATGTGCTTTGCTTAGGCCCTCAAACAGTTGCCTCTTTTCGGAACTTATTTCCTTTATGGTTTGTATTGCCAATTCAAGTTGAACCCTTTTTAGTGCGTGCTTGCTTATATAATCTTCTATAAATTGTAAACATAAATCGTCGATTTCAAAATCCGTTCGCGTTTTTCCGATAGTCGATTCCAAGTCCTCTTTTACATCTTTCGAGGTACGTTTCAGCTCCTTGTTTAGTTCCTTTAAAGCCAAATCCTCCTCAGGTTTAATTTCCTCTAATTGTTTAAAGAGCTTTTTGTAATTAGACTCAATACCATGCAATTTATAGAAGAGCGCAATAAGTTCTGCCCCGTTCTGGAGATAGTCTCGCCTTATCATGTCGTAAAGCAAGTCATCAATGCATCGATGCCAAGCAAAAAAGAATGCCATCGGGCCGAAATGTCTCGTAGAACGTAACACATCAAATTGTTTAGATTCATTGATGTGCTGATATACCTTGCTGCTGATGTGATGGAACTCTGGCTCATAAGGTTCGAATTGAACCACCATACGGTTTAAAATAAACACATATTTTTGCTCATCTAAACAGCGTTGTAAATGGTCATCCTGGAACATTTGCGGAACTCGTATACTGCGACCATTAAGTGGAAAATATAATTGCCGCATACGCTTTGTTACTTCCATTGGTGCATACTCCAGGGTACCATTGGTTTGCCGCACCACAACCTTGCGCTCTGATTGACGCAATCCATATGTTATGTCTGTTATAACGTACTTTGTGTTTGAGAAACCGCTTAAAGCACTGTCATTGGATATAATTTTGTGTTCATCTTTTCTTATCTGAACAACGGGAGGCATTTGTAAGCGCTCCTTCGCACGTGCAATAGTCTTGCGAAACTCTTCTTCCAGCATCGCGACAGTCATGAGCTTGTAATCCACGGAGTTGTCCGGCACAGTCGTCTTCTGGAAAATTTTATCCAGCTGAAGCTGCGTCATGGACCTGAGTAAATTTTGCGTTTCTGGATCAGTGAACTGAGGCTGCGGATCACGTTCGTAGAGCAGGGTAGCTGAAGATGCACCTGTATTGCCAGTTGATAAAGGTACTCGATGCAGCACACGGAAACTTCCCAGCAGATTCCCATGGTTGATTATTTGGCGTAGGAACACTATGGTAGACATTTTATTCGAAAAACTGAATTAAATCGTAACAATTCCACCGCACTGCGATAACTGGACAGCTGCTCAGTAAAACTGGCAGACTATCGATGGCACTATCGATACATCGAATTTTTTACTTTTTGCGTTACTATCGATAGTATAGAGCGTTCTTTTAAGGCCGGTCCACATAGAACTTTCGCGTTGTCTTTGGCGGTGGTGTTGGTTTGACAGAACGCACGTTAAAAGTATGCTTGCTACAATGAACGCTTGGCAGCGAAGGCTTGGGCCTCTAAATTAACATACTAACGACAGACAAATTAATATTTCATATCAATAATTGCATTAAAAACGATATTTTTTGCCCGCACTTGATTAAAAAAGAAAAATATTTCACATAATTTTATTTATTGCCTACAGCTGACGAGCGACGCACGCGAAAAGTTGAGAGTTGGCCATCTTTTTGCTTTGTGTTGGCGTGAGCGTTGCCGAAATTTGGCTATGTGGACGGCTGCATTTGAACTCATGTATTCGTAGTCAGCTGTTGAAGCGATGCCAACGCCAACGCAACGCCAAAGTTCTATGTGGACGGGCCTTTAATGTCATGCCAGAAAAAACCAGATGATTACGATTGTTTAAATTACATACGATTACGATTTATTTAATTGTATTCATAAACGTTACCAATACGAGTATAATACTTGTACACCCTTATTTTACAACACTTTCGTATTCGGATTTTGCTACGAATACGAATCGTAGAAATGGTATGCTGCAATCCAAGTGGTATCTTCGAAATCACGAAATTCGTATAACTGATATTAGTCAAGAACGTAAACCTACCGGTACGTAAACCCAAGTCAGCTGACACGATCTGTCTTATCAAAGCGCCATGTAAATGAAAACTCAAGACCGCAGAATTTTTCTGTAGTTGTAGCCCGTAGCGCAGAAATCAGCTGAATTTAGATTTTTCCGTGTCAGCTGATTTCTTCCTTCTTTAGATAGTCAGTTTTGCAGATGGTAAAAAAGTTATAAGTTCCTACGTGCCCTAGTGCATTTTTTGATTGGATGAAAAGGGAAGGAACGCCCCTGTTGCGCACTTTCGCCACAATTATAACGAGTTGTCCCTTCTTGTTATCTACGTTCTTTGGTTCCTATTCAAAGTATGTTTAAAATATTTAAATTTTACTATTGAATAAAGTTTTTTGTTGAAAACTAAGTAGTTTATCACCCCTATTCTGCAACTCTTTTGTATTCAGATTTTGCTACGAATCGTAGAAATAGTATGCTGCAATCCGAATCGTATCTTCGAACTTTCGAAATTCGTAACAATCGCATGCCTAAAAACGAGCAAGTAAGTTTTTTTGCGTAATTTGGTACGAAAACAATTCTGTGTCGGAGGCGAGATAAAAGATGTAAAGCGATGTGTGTTCGCACGAAATATTAGTGGTGTTTATTCGTTGTACATAACATTTCAACGGGTTTTGCGATTATATTCATCTAAACTTATGATAAAAAGACGGCGTGTGGTAATGATTAAAAAAAAAATTTGGACACATATATTTTAAAGCTGTCATATATATAGGACATTGGGCACATGACATATTATCAACTTTTTCTGATTTGAATTTGATGGGATCTGTGACAATACATTTGACATGTAATCCAATGTTAAATTTGTGGCATCTTACTGTGGTTGTCTGATGACAAGCGCCACATCTGGACCCAACTCTTTGTTGGAACTATGCGTAAACCTTCCTTTTTTATTTTGGGCGAGTTAAGCTGTTGTAATACTTCTCCTGAAAGGTAAGGGGCCCATTGTTCCGCCATTGTGTTTATGAGTCCGCCAGACATTTCGCCATTTCTACACAGTTAGTTATTAGGGGGAAACACTGTTTCTTACTCCCCATAGCACTGTGGTAGACGCTAATATTTTGGTCTGAACGATCCATACCTCCCATGATTTTATTACAATATTTTACGATACGAGTTTGCTCTTGTTAGGAGTATCGCTTGTTGAAACTTATGGGATTTATTCCGATTGCATCCGATTCCTGGACAATGGTATGTCATTACCGGGATCCCATTGATCATCAAAACCGGTTTCCGAAAAGACTTCAACGCTCCTTTTCATCAGCGAAACCGGATAATTATTTATACCGACAGAATTTTCGTCAACAGAAACCTCGTCGGTAATGTTTGCAGGTGCATTTATTTCTAGAAATAATGCTATGCTATCGAAATCTACATTATCATCCTCTAAAGGAGCCAAAGATTCATGCAGAGAAAATTCTCTGTAAGAAATTTATAGTATATTATATGCTAAATGTCCTACATGTAGGACACCATCTTTTTTGCTAATACAAAAGTAATATAACAACATAAAAACAAATTCACTAATCATAAAACAATCGAAGAATATGTCGTATATACGAAAAAAAACGTTAATTTTTATATTTGAATAAGCAAATTTTTACTTACCGTGCAACGTTAGCAACATATACCGAAACTTTGGAAAACTTGCCACTTTGTAAATCAATTACATAGAAATTTTGGTAAAAAAGTACCAAAACATACTGTCACAGGTAGGGATGATCAAGCACTTACTAAATGAGTAAAATAAGTGGCTCATGGGAAAACGTTACGCGTCATGTAAACTCTTGTGTAGGTGTCCTATTTATAGGACATTGGGCATATCTGGGTTTGCTTTTCGCATATACGTATATTTTTATCCACTGCTTTATATAAACTAGTAAAAAATAATCTTTGTTACCCCTTATTGAGAAACTTGGGTCCGGTTTAGTTATTTGTACAATGATTTTCGGTTGTTGTGTCCAAACTCATAACCGGAATCAAAAAACTTTAACATCACGTTCATCAATGTTTCGAATTTCCAACCACTAGTTTATTAATAAATTCGGTTTGCACTATGAACTTTTTTTCAAATTTCGACGTGGGTTCTGCGCAAAAATACTGTGGATGGCGTAGCCGGAGTGATATGCACAAGAAGTGTTGTATACCCCCTCTTCTCCGGCAACACAGAAAGGAGAATTCTACTTAGTAAGGGTTATAATATATATATATATAATTACGAAAATGCGGGTTTTAGAATAAGGGTGTTTAGTTCCTTACCACTTTGCTTCCCCTCATTCAGCCGTCTTCGAAAATCAACTGATAGCCGGCAATGCTCAACATGTTTCCGCAAGGGTTGCAACATGTCGATTTTTCTCCTTATCGAACAATTTGTGTCCGGTTTAGTTATTTGTACAATGTTTTTCGGTTGTTGAATTCTACTTAGTAAGGGTTATAATCCCTAAGCGCGGCAGAAGCAAGCGCAACAGGTTATGGACCTTACAAAGTGAATGTTTTCAATGGCTTGGAAGAAGCTGTAATTGCATAAACTGGATTGAGAACTAGTTCTTCAGGCATAGGAGTTATGGCGTGTGGTTCAACAATTCAACCTGAAGCTGACATAGGTGCGTCAGTGGGTACTATGCCCGACAACTCTGCATATGTTTGTGAATTCTTTTCCATAGCGCACTATTACTCCGCTGCAATAATTGCAAAATCAATAGAATCCATCGTTTCCTTCAAAATACGTCAAATCAAAAAATTTTACTATAAATAAGCTCTTTATGAGTATTTTTTAATTCCTTTCCACTTTGTATTCCTTCGTACAGCTGTTTTCGAAAAACAAGTGATAGCTGGCAATGCTGCACAGGTTTCCGCAAAGGTTGCAGCATGTCGATTTTTCGTTTTTCGTAATAGCTACGAATTACGAATTGTGAAAAGTCGGTTTCTAGAATAAGGGTAATATATACTTCTTTCACTTATGCTTGAATCATGGTTTATTATGCCAAAGTTTTGACCCTAAAGCTCAAAATACAATAACGCAGTAGCAGTGGCAACGGCAGTCAGCTGTTTTTTTTCCGAAAGTGTGCTGTCCATTGAAGCGACACACAATACTGCAGCGGCAGCTAGCAATACTGCTCAGTTTAGTCCAAATTTAAAATTCATTGCCACTGTCTTCATCGCAGCAAACTTCGCATGCTGATTTTGGCATTTATGAAGCGCTGCCAACTTGTTTTCTTCACTGAAGCCTAAAACACAACAACAAAAATGTAAACAAATGAAATGGAATGCCAAATAAAGTATTTACTGAGACCGCCGTATTGCGTTTGTTGCGGCAGTGACTGCCAATAGGTTTGTTCCACACGAGCCCGCAGGATCACGCGGGTACCAAAAGTACAAACAGCACATAAAGCGTTCCTCACGCTCGAAAAATTGGTTATACAGTTTGTCTGATTAACCAGACCTTAACGGCTCACAGCTGACAACAATTGCATACAAAAAAGTGGCCGTATAAATGGAACGAACAACACCAAAAGGTAATATGAAAAATCGCGTCGCTATAAGTTTCCATGTATAAACGCAGACTCATGATTTACGAAAATATTATCGACAACCAAGATAAGAGAAAACTCGGAATTTCTGAATGTTTCCCAGAAGAATAAGTATTAAAATTTATGGTCAGTATAAAAATTTTAGGAGCAGAATGTGTAAATTGAATTCCAGTCTCAGTTACAGTAAAATCGATGTTAAAACATCGCTGAAACTAGCATCGATATATTGTCAATTTTGCGATTTTAGGATTTTAGTAAACATCGAATTTAGAACCGATATTATCGATGATTCAAAAATATCGATACATCGTTTGATATCCCCAACAATTTCTCTTATCGCTATTTACACATTAACACATCGCAAAGTGTTTTTAAATGGTGAACTAATTTACTTGAACGTTCCAATTTACCGAAAAGAATGGACTTGGGCTCAGAGAAAAATCTACTTCAGGTGCAAAATAATCCCAATGAATCAAGATTGTGCCGAAAGCGTCGTCACTCAGATTGTGGTGAACAGCATAGTACCAGCTGTGAGGCTGCATATGAAAATGGGGCTGTGGGGGACTACACTCCTGCCGCAAAGTGTCGTGGCGTTGATTCCACACACCAAGTCTGCTTAACAGACTTTCCTGATGAACTCCTTTATGAAATATTTAAGAGCCTCGACTCGTGGACATATTACGCCCTTATGAAGTAAGTGTTTTCATAAGAATATACGCCATTTTTTAATATATTTCTCTTGGCAGCTGTTGTAACCGCTTTTGTACATTATTAATGGATCGCAGATTTTGGCAACACATCGATCTCAGTCAGAAATTATTGCCGCTCGGCATACTAGAAGATGTCATGGAACGTACACACAAAGGAACTACTTGCGTAAAGTTACGTGGCCCATCGCGGCAGTACACAAGTACAGAAATACAGAAATTTAACAAAACATTGGCAGACACCTTTGCTCAGCGGTGTACACAATTAAACATATTGGAATTACGGGGTGTTACTGTAGATCTAAGAAATGTAAGGAAATGAGAAATGAAATCACATTTACATACAAGTAACCTTTAATTTTGTCTTAAAGGTTCGCATTGTGCATTTTCCTAAAACTTTAAAGCGGCTTGTTTTTAGAGATTGTAACTTCTGCAAGCCACAGGATGAGCAAACCATATTCAGTGGCATTCACACTCATTTAGTGCATTTAGAGGTATGTAAATTTTAGAGCTATCCAGCATCATATTTACATTCTTCGCCATCTTTAAGGAGCTTGGTATTGAGTACAGCAGTTGGTTTGAGCCTTATTACATCATGATGATATCCAAAATACCCTCACTACGCTGGCTTAGCTTAAAAGGTTGTTCACGATTGGGCGATTTTATTCCATATGGAAGCATGGCGGCACGTTTTGGATTTAAAAAATTAGAGGTACAAAACGACTTGATGAACCTTCTGCACCCCTTGTGAATTTTCGCTTATATTTCTAGTACTTGGATTTGCGATTCACCCCAATAACAGATTCTGATTTGCAATGCTTCAATGTCGTGCTGACTTTAAAAGAGCTACTTCTGGATTGTCCTCTAAGTATGCGTGACAATGAAACAAAAAATAGCACACCAACAAAAGATGAAAGTAAGGACGCCAGCGACAGCGATTGTCAACCGTCCACGTCGAAAGCATCCACCTCACCAGAAGACTACGATTCTTCTCTATATTCTAGTGCTATGGTTAACTCGTCATCAAATACCTCGATACAAGAGGGACGCGAAGAAACAGAAAAGCCGTCGTGCTCGAGCCCACAAATGTCATCGTCCTCTTCTTCTACTTCGTCGTCGTCGCCTTCGTCAGCTTTGAATTCTCCATTTGCATCACCTTCGCGTTTGCCACAAGATCATGCAGCGGACAATAGTTTACCTGAGCCTGGTGGAAATTTTCCATCACGTAGTCGATTTTTACCACGACCAGAACATGTTATTTTGTTAGACTTTGTGAATCGTCGGCCCACCATAAGGCATATTCGTCCGCCACCAAACGTAGACAATCATTTTGATTTAATGTTGCAACATCCACATTTCTGGAATATAATAAACCCTTTGGGACGCGGAAATGAATCTAATTGGTCCAGCTCATCGTCAGGACCAGTACCACATTTCAGTCATCATCCATGTTGTCGTCAATACCCCATTTCAGATCGTGGTATTTGCTGTTTTGGAAGGCCACAAAATCCGGTTGAACCTGGTGTAATCTGGATACGCATTGGCAACCGCCCGAGCGAAAATAGCTTTGTAAGACTTAGTGTGCGAAATTATAAAAAGGTCACAGACATTTCCCTGCATCATCTTGTGCAGTGCTCGCCTGATCTGATCTATCTGGATTTGAGTGGTACGAGCGTAACACGCGAAGGCGTGCAACGTTTTAAAGCTAGTAAGCCGGAATGCCAAATCATAGCTGATCATCTTATTGGGTCAAGCAATGATGATTGCCCAAATCAAGAACCGATCATTGATTAACTCTTGTGTACGTTCACACACTTGGGCGTTGTAATAGTTGCAAATCAATCGACTTGCATACGTACAGCCACACATAAGTCCATGGCAGAAGTTCACGAACATACATTGCACTATTATGCTTAACTCCTAGTATTAATTATATATCCATAATCTTAACTAACGGCTGAACACAAAGAATGTCATTAAGCTCTTACGATTTTTGTTAACATAAATTTTATTCAAAATTAGCGCAAATGTGTACACGTATATAGTATACAGCAATGTGGTAGTTTTTACAGTGTTTAAAAGGATAGTAATATATCAATAAATATAAAAAATATTAAGTTCACTCGTCATTGACATCATTGGTGGAGGAGACATCATCATCGTCGTCATCATCATCGTCGTCATCATCAGCTGTCTCCTCCGACTCCGACTCCGAGTCCGAGCTTTGGCAATCGGCAATTTCACCTGTGAAAAACATAACAGCCTTTGGGATGACACGTTCCTTGAGGTAGAAACCGAGCTCAAAATCATTTTGTAAAATTGCCTGCAAATGCAATATCCTTAGTTGAGAATTGAAAACTATAAACAATACTTACATTTATATCGCAATAATTAGGATCTTCTGTGTCATCTGGTAGTTTCGGAGGATTGAAGAAGTCAAAAAACGAAGCTGTAAATGAGATTCGAGTGGGCATAAAGAACTTTGCATAGAATTAAGGAGATATAGATTTACATTTGGGGTTCTCA